TATTTATACCTTTCCCCTTCCTCTCCAACGTTTCTCTCCTTCCCCAGAATCGTTCAGTTCGTGCAAAAGCTGAAAAGTGCTTTCCTCTCTCTCCTCCATGGGCGACCTTGAGCTCCCGAGCTTTTCCCATCAATCCTTGAGAGAAAAAGGTCCCAAACTCGATTAGAGAGCAAATCCATTGATTCCCCGACTCTAAAGAGCACTTGGTTCATGTTTTGGCCGGCGGTTGTGTTTGTTACTCTTGGAGCTTGGCTCCTAGCTGGATAGAGCGACGCCCGTGGAGCTTGCCAACTTGTGTATCAGCCCTGGAAGGTTTGTAACCATTTTTTGAAGCTAGTAAACTCAACCCTCATCTCAAGAGTTAACTCTCTTGACTTGAGAACGAGGAAGGGTTGCAAAGCCCTAGCCTTAGTGGCAACCTCAACAACGTGGACTTAGGCAAACCTTGATGGCGAGCTGAACCACGGGATAAATCCTTATGTCACCTTGTGCTTGTTTTACTTCACTTGCATTTCATATTGTTGTGGAGGTGATTTCTAGGGTTTGTCGCCGATCTACTTGTGTGTGGTGTTCCTACTACTTCTAACTGTCGATCTGTGTTCTATACCCCTGTAGGAAGCTCAGTAATTTCTCTGATCTAAGTTTCTATTGACAGATTTTGAATTACTTCACGAAATGTTCTGGCCCAACAGCGTCGATGTCCGGCAGTGCCACGGGGTCAAATTTGACAAAAGTTTAAATTTTATTTTAACGGGTCTATTCACCCCCTCTAGGCTAACCAGAGATCTTACGGGATGTGGACATGTGGCGCGTGCAGGGCGCAGTGATCGTACGTGGCATCGACGTCAGTATGCAGTGGTGCCACGGCAGATAACTGCGGGCTGGAAGTTAAAGAAGTTTCTGTGATAATGTTTCTTTGACATTTGACGGGGAATAACTCTGGTATTCGTGTTTGTCATGAAAACGGATTCGATCTTGTGACACAACACAATCGTGTCTCCTAAAACGAAAACGGTTTGGCCGTCCCAACAAGACACATCATAATCCACCCGGTTTTCGGCCAACACGAGGCTTTTCAATTTTTTGCTTGACAAGTATCCACGGGGGCACGTAGCTCTCTCTCTCTCTCTCTTTCTCTCTCTGAACAATGTCTCAGGCCTTGTTTAGATCACCTCCAAATTCCAAGTTTTTTCACTCTCTCTCCATCACATCAATTTTTAGCCGCTTGCATGGAGCATTAAATGTAGGTAAAAAAAATAACTAATTGCACAGTTTAGTTGGAAATCACGAGATGAATCTTTTGAGCTTAGTTGGTCCACGATTGGACAATATTTACCAAATAAGACGAAAGTGCTACTATTCATCGGGTTGAGATTTTTTGCAATCTAAACATGGCCTCAAATGTCAACCAAAGGTCGAAGAAGGCAGGTGTTATTTTTGTAGCTATTATTGTCCATCTACTCATACGGAGTAGCTAGTTCAGGTTTCACACTAAGGCCCTGTTTGGTTTCCATAAGTCAGGTGACTTATTAAGTTAGGTGACTGAAAACCAGTGACTTATAAGTCATGTCTGTTTGGTTGTAGATGACTTATAAGTTCATTAAAGGTGTGGGCCCCACGTGAAAAATGGTGACTTGTTAGTTTTAAGCAGGGGTGAACCAACTTAAAACTTATAAGCAGGGGTGACTTATAAGTTGGTGGTGTTTGGCAAAATAAATCACTTTTTTCACTTTTTAATTTATAAGTAGGTGACTTATTTGGAACCAAACAAGACCTAAGAAGGCGACTGATCCTGCATCTCCCGTGTGCTAATTACTTTTCGCCGGCCGCTGATGCACATTGGGCCCTGCGTTTTATTATGTGTCTGAAGCAGCCCAAGATGGCACCCAAAACTACTGGTTACCGTTGCCACCACACCCCAGGCAGGGAACTGGTTGCCGTAGCCGCCGGTGTTGCCAACAACGGTGATGTCGATGTGCGGCAGGTCCCCGGCCCCCGGTGGTGGCGGTGGCTGCGAATTCGGGCTGGACGACTTGGCACCACTGCGGTCAACAAAATTGCAAAACAAAAAAAAGGGTTAATTATTAGTACACAGTACTGCATATATATTTGTACTGTGCAATTAATCACATGGAACATGACGTGGAACTTCATTTCTTTCCAAGCCAAATTTGGTCCACGGGAATGTAACCGGGTAGCCCATGAATTACCATCTTTGGTGAGTAGAAGTAATGTTCTTGTCTCGTCTATCACGGCCGGAGTGCCAAATTGTATTCTGAACTGGCCGAGTAATGGAATTCAAAGTTCCCCTCAATCTCTCGTACCTGGTCGAGTGGTCGTGCTGGGGCACAAGGTGATGGTGTAGGTGGTGTCGCCGCCGCCGCACGTGAAGGTGGAGGAGGCGCCGTCGTACGCATAGCTGTAGGCCTTCGGGCAAGCCTTCTTGAACAACTGAGAGTACGCCGACGGCGTGCACTTATCGAGATTCCCGCACTCGCCGGTGCAGCAATACTGGGGCGACCCGAACGCCTGGCACGCGCTCTTGCACGCCACGACGCCGGCGCCGGCGGCCTTGGACTTCACGCGCAGCTCGGCCGGGCACCCGCCGTTCAGGTCCACCACGCACCCCGCCGGCGCGCAGTTGCCGCCTGCGTCCGCGCCTTGCGGCGCCACCAGCACCGGAAGGTTGAACCCGTCGACAAGGCTGACGTCGTAGAAGTCCATGCCCCCGGTGCCGTCCATGGTTAACTGCGATCGTGGCTGGCGGGCCGGCCCGCCGCCGGCGCAGTCCTGCTTGCCCGAGCCGCAGTCTCCGGTGATGCAGGTGAACTTGCCCATGCCGGCGTCGCTGGAGCATAGGGTACGGCCCCAGAGGCGGCCCGACCACCCCGACGGCACGGGCATGGCGCGCGACTCCCCCGGCGCGAGCTCGAATCCCGTGCTGTGCAGGGCCGGTGCCGTCGAGCCCGCCCCGGAGAGGATCCCTGGCCACACGGTGTAGCTGCAGTTGTTGGTGATGGTGAAGGACTTGGAACCAGCAGCACCTGATCAATCGACCAAAATCAAACACGGCGGCATTAGCTCTCTTCGTTGGCAGCAACTAAAAAAACGGTACAGCAAGCTCTCCTCTGCATTACCACGTACTTTACCTGCAGCAGTCACCGAGATGGCGACCACGAGCAAGACTAGAGCAAGCGATCGGCGGGCCGCCACCGACGCCATTATGCTCTCAGCTCAGACGAGACGGCGACGGCGGTGCTGATGACCGGTGTTGCCGGCCGGCTTGGGGAAAGCGGACGGCCGTATTTATAGAGCATGCAATGGAGACGCGTTCGTGTCCACGTGGCGGAGAACGTCTTGTGATAGCAAAAGAGAAGTGCCATCCTCCAGAATCCACCACAAACGTCCTTCTCTAGGAGCACACATCATGCCTCCGAAACAATTTTGTCGCGTAATGAGACTCAAATTTCAAAAAATAGAAAAACCTTCGATATGATATCGGATGAAAATAATTTTTATATGTAAATTGTAGACCTCGATGAGATCTACAACTTTATAGTTTTAATTTTTTTTCATTTGAGGACAGTAAGATGCTTAAAAAAATAATATAAAATTTCAGCACCATAATAATCGCCTACTGGCGCTTTCCGCGTTAGAGCACTAATATATTATTTGTATGGATTTAAATGAAAATACTTTTTATACCAAAGTTGTAGCTCTCAATGAGATCTACAACTTTGTAGTTTTGAGTTTTTTCATTTGAGGACGTTAAGATGCTTAAAAATAATATAAAATTTCGGCGCCTCCCGAAAATATCAAAAGTTACTGTTCATACGCCAAAACCGCCGGAAGGTTGAAAGTTGAACGGTTTTAAGAGTTCGAGGGCCAAAGTTATCCAGTTTTGAAGTTCAAGGTTGAAATCCGGACTTTGACGAGAGTTGGAGGGTGTAAATTGGACTTTACCCTATCAAATATAATATTAGTTAACTAATAGATGACCATAGCATAACATAAGGCAACTTGCTAGTCCAAACGCAGCACACACCACCTACTTGCGATGAAGGAAGACTTACTGGTTTGGCAATGCACTTTAAAATAATGTGTAGCGGAAGATTAATGCACCATTTGGATCTAATTGTGTAAAGTTTAGCCACTAAACGCTAGACCCCTTTGACCCTTGAGACTCCAAACAAGTGATCTAAATTGTTTTCTAAAGCTTAGCCAATCTAAAAAATCAATTGGTTCATTATATATCAAGTGGTCTAAACTTAAGTATCAACATGTAATGGAACATTTTATTTCAAGAAATACTAAAAGGACGCTATTCTTGAGTAAAACACGAGGTCAGTTTATTGCTTCAGTAGTACCTTTACCCTTTTAGCATTACCATTTGATATATTCTTAAGAATTGCAAAAAAAAATGTAATGAATGGTTGAAGTTGAATATTTTAGAGGCCATCCAGGCCCACGGTGACCAGGTTTAACAGATGCGTCAGACTCTTGTTTGGTTGCCGCATCCATTCAGTTTAGTTAGCCTGATTGGGTGACCATGCGCAAACGTGTACTAGAGTGCTCCCTCTTCTAGATTGAAAAAAAGACGTCGTTTTGAACAGCGTTATGGTCTTTAAAGCATAACTTTAACTTCTTATTTTTATAAAAGTATTTATTGAAAAGTGATATATGTATATTTTTAGAAAAGTATTTTCAAGACAAATCTATTTATATGATTTTTATGTTTTCAAACTCAACAACTTAAAAATTATTCATGATTTATATTTTAATAATGTTCCAAAACGCACGGTTTTTCAATTCTCAGTTCAATCCCCTGGATCATACTCCGTCTCCTCGATCAATGCAAGCAATATCTAGCTCAACAAGCTTCTTGTCACTGAGCTGAGCAGCAGCAGACTGCAGTACACCTAAGTAAGCTAGTACTAGTGACTAGTGTACGCCGGCCAGCCGCCGCGCCTTCACGCACTGTCCTTCACCTTTTCTGCAGTTTAGCGGGAGTAGATAGCCTTGAAGAGACCCAACCAATTTGCCAGCAGACTCAAGACCGCAGCCACCAGACCCAAAATGGCGACGGCAAGGACGACGCGCCACGGTCCTGAAGCAGCGCCGCCGACCTGTCTGCCGCCGCCGGTGTATGGCTCGGTGCTGACGCCGTTGATGAGCGGCAGTTTCCCGTTCACCGGTGGCTCCGAGCTGCGGCTCGCGGAGGTGGAGGGCTTGCCACTGCACGCAGTCACACTACACTGGAAAAAATCAAAAACTTATAAGAAAGAAAACGAAGCTGAGGATAAGATAACAATGCATTTATGCATGCATCTGTAGCACAGGCAAAAGCAAAGCATTCCGAACATCTCGCCTTTTCGGCGGCGCCACCCTTGCCGGGGAGGATCGGACTATATATGTTTCAAGTCAGCGTAGTGTGTACCTGGTCGTGGATGGGCAGAAGGTGATGGCGTAGGTGCCGGTGGTGTCACCGCCGGCGCAGGTGAAGGTGGAGCCGGCGCCGTCGTACGTGTAGCTGTACGCCCGTGGGCACGCTTGCTTGAAATCTGTTCTGCAAGGGGTTGAGGAAGAACTCCGAGTATGACGACGGCTTGCAGGTGCCGCGAGTCGCGTACGTGCCGGTGCAGCAGTACTGGGGCGACCCGAACGCCAGGCACGCGCTCTTGCACGCCACGGCGCCGCCGGTGCCCAACGTGACGCGCAGCTCGGCCGGGCACGCGGCGTTCAGGTCCACCCCGCACCCCGCCAGCACACAGTTGCTGCCAGGGCCTGCGCCCTGCGGCGCCACCAGCACAGGGAGGTTGAAACCGTCGACGAGGCTGACGCCGTAATAGTGCATCCCGCCGCTTCCATCGAGCGTGAACTGCGCGAGCGTGGCCGGCGGAGACGGCCCGCTGCCGGCGCAGTCCTTGCCGCCGGAGCCGCAGTCGCCTGTGACGCGGGTGAACTCGCCCGTGGTGGTGGCGTTGGTAGAGCACAGGGTACGGCCCCAGAGGAGAACGGACCACCCCGTCGGCACGGACATGGAGCGCGACTCCCCCGGCACGAGCTCGAATCCTGTGGTGTCCAGCGCCGAAGCCGAACTCGCCGCGGCCCCGGAGAGGAACCCCGGCCACACTGTGTAGCTGCAGTGGTTGGTGATGTCCATCGACTTATTGGAACCAGCAGCAGCACCTGATGGAGTAAAATCAAACAGGACATCAAGGGGGCAACTAAGCCACGGGCATTCATACAGTGCCCATACTAACGCCACGGCTTTATCTCAGGGATGCACTTGAAAACAACCAAATAACTAATTTTTTCATGGAAACAACCAAAGTTGTAGGAAGTTCCATTATTTTCATGTAAAAGAGAAATTACAAGGTTGCAATTGAACAATTAGGACAATTTTCCTGACATCACGAACCATTAGTTCATGTGGCATGATGGATGACTTGTAGAATAACAGGGAATCACATCACAGACATACAAATGCACATGTCTCAAGAACACGTCAAAACTACACTAAACATTTGACGACTTTTGATAATTCCTAGCAACTATTTCAGCCTTCAACATAGTCTCCTAGGTAGCTCAGATATCTTCTGTCGACTCCGCGCTGGAGACAAACCAAGCTTATTTGTTGTCACTTCTCTGCATACCCCAAAAATAATGAGCCTATGGTATCATAACAATTGGCTTACTAAATCAGAGTATCACAACAATTTCATTGTTTAATTCCAGAGAATCTTAATACAGTATAGTTTTTCTTGTACCAAAAAAGTGCTTTTGCCTATATCACAGAAGTTGTATTTACTGTGATCTCAAGGCATGACCATACCTTTGGTTTTATCAGTAAGCCCGACTTTGCTTCAAACCTCCAAGAAAGAAAAATAATAAATGTGTATGCTCTACCTAACAAGTCCAAAGTAGAACAATTGCTACCTCCACAATGGATGCCTCACATGTCACAAGCAGCTAACACTAACAGAGGGATAATCGTTACACTTTGATTTTTTGAAAAATACAGGAGGGCATATAACAGAGATGGAGTAGGCTACCTAACAGATCCTTCTGTATCCAACAGAAGATAAGTTTGTTAATCAGATAGCAATGGGCATTTTGGAGCTTCATCTCACCTCTGATGGAGTAGGCTGGTGTCATCGGGTAGCATCATATCGGTAATCGACACATTCCAACCTAAATTTTAGCTCCCCCAGTTTGCAAGTTTCAAAGTTATAAAATTGTTTGCACTGACATTTATGCAGATATTCAGAAGGTTGCAATACCAAAGAGCTTGTAAAAAGCAGACACCCTCTTTCATTATTTGGGTTGCTGAAAGAATTTTCATGCATCATATTATTGGCCGTCAGAACAGTGACTCTTGATCCCTTTGCATTGACACCAACTTCAAGTCAAGTCACATGTATTGTGAGCTTCACAGCATGAGATCCTAAGTTACTATCTGCAAAGGTTTTTGTGGTCATTTGAAATATTCCAGCACTTAATGTTTCGAAAAAAAAAAATCCAGCACTTATCAAGTGAGTTGAAGCAATCACAGAAAGTCTAGGAGAAAACAAGAAATTGTTGGTATTACCTATACCTTCAGAACAGTGAAGCTACTGTCAGTGTCTTTTCAGGTGATAGCTGATGCTGCCAATGAATTGGAGTAGCTGGATATGACTGAAACTGGATGGGTCACACAGCACAGCAAGGAGTTCCATACTGTTGCCAAGAGTTGATAACTTCACGTCCAGGAGCCACCTGATTATCATGTTTTCAGATTTCACTACAACTCTACAAGTGTTAACCAATAAAAAAAGGGTAGGTTAAATAGAACAATAATATCCTGTGGCCATGGCATGTGACTGCCCATCTTGATTAAGGATGAAAACGGTCGGAAACGGTCGAAAAACTCCTAAATTGTTTTTTACTTTTACATTTGAAATACGAAAACGAAAGCGAAAACGGTAAAACCGGACACGAAAACGAACGCGAACTTACGAATTATCGAGAATTTCGAAAACGAACCAATTCGAGCGGATTTATGTCGAACACGGTCGATATACGAAAACTCAATACGGAATACCGACCCGTAGACCAAGTGCATGACTAAGTGCATACATGATCAAGTTCAAGTGCATATAATAATTAACAAGTGCATATTATAGAAACATGAACTCGAACTGAGTCAGAATAATTTTATTAATCTTTTTAGAATAGATGTAGTATTTTATTTTAAAGATTTATTCAGATTTTTCTTTTGAGTAACAAAGATTTATTCGGCTGATGCAAAAACTATCAAATGATTGACTTTGCAGGTGGGGGTTAAACCGATGAGCTTGATGGGCTATGGCCCAGGTGGGCTTTCGTGTAGATGCTGCTGGTTTCCTGATATTTAGCACCATCTCGTGAGGTGAAGAGAGATGAGGCTGGGCGCCGTCTATAAGAGATGGCAGCTGGCCACCAGTAGAAAGAACGCAGCTGCGTGGAGAACAACCTGTAATTGGGCTGTATGACCTGTGCAGTTGGCCAAATTCGGTTTAAACCGAATTTTCAATTCGGAATATTTCAAATTAAAAGTAGAAAAGTAGAAAACGGTCGAAAAATGTCTAAACCGTTTTCTACTTTTACATTTGAAATACGAAACATCTGAAATGCGAAAGCGAAAACGGTAAAGTCGGACAAGAAAATGCGGATTCGATTGGATTAAATATAGAAAACGATGCGGTTCGGTTCGGGATATTTCCGTTCCGTTTTTCCATCAAGCAAGTAGAGAAAGTGAAAGGGTTTGACTGACAAACAAGTAGAGATTAAAATATACATATAGGTAGATCAACATTGCACAAGCTAAGAAGCAATTCAGTTAGAAATATAATTGCATGGCTCAGAAAGACCTTAACATTTCATGGCACCATTTCAGGAAGCTATGAAGACAGTAAAACTGAAACAACACTATGTCTGATTAAGAATTTAAGAAGCTAAGATCACAATGGCAAATTTTCAACAAAAAAAAAATGCTACCATTATAAAATCTGATATGTATTGCATGCGGAGCTCATGAATCCTCACCGGAGCCGCTTTCTTGACTCCTGTACATGTATACACCCCCTCCGTACTGGTAATTTAAGTCGCTTTCGACAGCGATACGGTCTCCAAAATATAACTTTGACATCTTGTTTTTATAAAAATATTTATTGAAAAGCGATATATGTATATTTTTTAATATTTTTCTAAACACTAAACGCTAAACAGTCGGTCACCTACCGTTTAGTCATTATTCGGGCTAAGCAGTCCATTAAAAATTTCATACTCATTGGATCATGTATAACTAAGCTATACATGATCCAATGAGCATGAAATTTTTACTACAGTTCAATCATATAATAATTAGCCCGCCATAAAAATTTTATCACAATTGGACCATACAAATTACAGCTATAAATTATTCCAATTAATTATAGAAAAGCATAGATCTAAAACCACAACAAAAACGTTGTACTAAAGCATACCATATTATTTGTTCACTGTGTCGAGCTACTCTCGTGGAGTCTAACAAAATTGGATTTTCTATTTTATAAATTTTCTATGATTTACTATGATTTTTCAAAAATTCAACCAAAATAAATAAAAGAGAAAAAGACAAAGCCACCTTCAAAACTGCTTATAACAGGGCCAGGGAGGTAAGATGAACTGTTTTAAAAGTCGAGGGAGGTGTTTTGCTCAATTTTGAAGTTCAGGGAGGAAAAACGAAGTTCCACGAAAGTTGAGGGAGGTAATGTGGACTTTTTCCTTTGGCTTTCCTCCATTTTTGTTCTTTTTTTCCTTGATGAACTCTATCTTGTATGCCCAAATTTTTATTAACTTTAATTTAATTTTACTGCAGGGTCCAAGGCCCCTCTACCTAGATTTCTAATCCAAAATATATATATATTGGGGGAGCCACGTTAGTGACCTAACACGTGGCAACGACACCGGGCTGACATGTGGTCTTATTAGATAGCCTGAACGTGGTGTCATTTTAGATGGACACAGGGGGCATGGGACGTGAAAGTGCAATCAAGCTCTAATTGTGAGTTCTGGTGATGATGACCACGTAATTAGAGGACTAATGAGATTTATCAAGATAATAAGCAGGGAATACATATACGAGGATGTTACATGAAACAGAGGAGCCACGAATTACAATTGTTAATGACTTCAAACTCAAAAGAGATTTTAATTCTTTTATATTTTGAATTTGAGTATAGAAAAAGCCGTACTATAAAGGGAGACACAATGCTTAAAGCTAACATGTGCTACCAAGTGCTCAATCTTTCACATACATCCTCAGTTACTCAGCCAAGACAGTTAGTACTTCATTCTTACCCTTGTTGTCTTGCCTAGTGCGGCAGTGTTGCACCTAGAGAGAGGCAATGCCGCTGAGTGGCACTGCCGCACTTGAGCTGCGGCACTGCACGACTTAAGTGATCGTTGGGGACAGGGGGTATTTATACCTTTTTCCTTCCTCTCCAACGTCTCTCTCCTTCCTCAGAATCGTTCAGTTCGTGCAAAAGCTGAAAAGTGCTTTCCTCTCTCTCCTCCATGGGCGACCTTGAGCTCCCAAGCTTTTCCCATCAATCATTGAGAGAAAAAGGTCCCAAACTTGATTAGAGAGCAAATCCATTGATTCCCCGACTCTAAAGAGCACTTGGTTCATGTTTTGGCCGACGGTTGTGTTTGTTACTCTTGGAGCTTGGCTCCTAGCTGGATAGAGCGACGCCCGTGGAGCTTGCCAACTTGTGTGTCAGCCCTGGAAGGTTTGTAACCATTTCTTGAAGCCAGTAAACTCAACCCTCATCTCAAGAGTTAACTCTCTTGACTTGAGAACGAGGAAGGGTTGCAAAGCCCTAGCCTTAGTGGCAACCTCAACAACGTGGACTTAGGCAAACCTTGATGGCGAGCTGAACCACAGGATAAATCCTTGTGTCACCTTATGCTTGTTTTACTTCACTTGCATTTCATATTGTTGTGGAGGTGATTTCTAGGGTTTGTCGCCGATCTACTTGTGTGTGGTGTTCCTACTATTTCTAACTGTCGATCTGTGTTCTATACCCCTGTAGGAAGCTCAGTATTTTCTCTGATCTAAGTTTCTATTGACAGATTTTGAATTACTTCACGAAATGTTCTGGCCCAACAGTGCCGATGTCCGGCAGTGCCGCAGGCTCAGAGCAGCAGTGCCACGGGGTCAAATTTGACAAAAGTTTAAATTTTATTTTAATAGGCCTATTCACCCCCTCTAGGCTAACCAGAGATCTTACGGGATGTGGACATGTGGCGCATGCAGGGCGCAGTGATCGTACGTGGCATCGACGTCAGTATGCAGTGGTGCCACGGCAGATAACTGCGGGCTGGAAGTTAAAGAAGTTTCTGTGATGAATGTTTCTTTGACATTTGACGGGGAACAACTCTGGTATTCGTGTTTGTCATGAAAACGGATTCGATCTTGTGACACAACACAATCGTGTCTCCTAAAACGAAAGCGGTTTGGCCGTCCCAACAAGACACATCATAATCCACCCGGTTTTCGGCCAACACGAGGCTTTTCAATTTTTTGCTTGACAAATATCCACGGGGGCACGTAGCTCTCTCTCTCTCTCTCTCTCTCTCTCTCTCTCTCTCTCTCTCTCTCTCTGAACCATGTCTCAAATGTCAACCAAAGGTCGAAGAAGGCAGGTGTTATTTTTGTAGCTATTATTGTCCATCTACTCATACGGAGTAGCTAGTTCAGGTTTCACACTAAGAAGGCGACTGATCCTGCATCTCCCGTGTGCTAATTACTTTTCGCCGGCCGCTGATGCACATTGGGCCCTGCGTTTTATTATGTGTCTGAAGCAGCCCAAGATGGCACCCAAAACTACTGGTTGCCGTTGCCACCACACCCCAGGCAGGGAACTGGTTGCCGTAGCCGCCGGTGTTGCCAACAACGGTGATGTCGATGTGCGGCAGGTCCCCGGCCCCCGGTGGTGGCGGTGGCTGCGAATTCGGGCTGGACGACTTGGCACCACTGCGGTCAACAAAATTGCAAAACAAAAAAAAAAAAAGTTAATTATTAGTACACAGTACTGCATATATATTTGTACTGTGCAATTAATCACATGGAACATGACGTGGCCATCCATATTTGTACTGTGCAATTAATCATATGGAACATGACGTGGAACTTCATTTCTTTCCAAGCCAAATTTGGTCCACGGGAATGTAACCGGGTAGCCCATGAATTACCATCTTTAGTGAGTAGAAGTAATGTTCTTGTCTCGTCTATCACGGCCGCAGTGCCAAATTGTATTCTGAACTGGCCGAGTAATGGAATTCAAAGTTCCCCTCAATCTCTCGTACCTGGTCGAGTGGTCGTGCTGGGGCACAAGGTGATGGTGTAGGTGGTGTCGCCGCCGCCGCACGTGAAGGTGGAGGTGGTGCCGTCGTACGCATAGCTGTAGGCCTTCGGGCAAGCCTTCTTGAACAACTGAGAGTACGCCGACGGCGTGCACTTATCGAGATTCCCGCACTCGCCGGTGCAGCGGCGACCCGAACGCCTGGCACGCGCTCTTGCACGCCACGACGCCGGCGCCGGCGGCCTTGGACTTCACGCGCAGCTCGGCCGGGCACCCGCCGTTCAGGTCCACCACGCACCCCGCCGGCGCGCAGTTGCCGCCTGCGTCCGCGCCTTGCGGCGCCACCAGCACCGGGAGGTTGAACCCGTCGACAAGGCTGACGTCGTAGAAGTCCATGCCCCCGGTGCCGTCCATGGTTAACTCGGCGATCGTGGCTGGCGGGCCGGCCCGCCGCCGGCGCAGTCCTGCTTGCCCGAGCCGCAGTCTCCGGTGACGCAGGTGAACTTGCCCATGCCGGCGTCGCTGGAGCATAGGGTACAGCCCCAGAGGCGGCCCGACCACCCCGACGGCACGGGCATGGCGCGCGACTCCCCCGGCGCAAGCTCGAATCCCGTGCTGTGCAGGGCCGGTGCCGTCGAGCCCGCCCCGGAGAGGATCCCTGGCCACACGGTGTAGCTGCAGTTGTTGGTGATGGTGAAGGACTTGGAACCAGCAGCACCTGATCAATCGACCAAAATCAAACACGGCGGCATTAGCTCTCACTACGTAAAAAACAGTTTTTAGCAACGGTTCGAATTTTTTTTAAGGGGCGGCTGGTGATGGAGCCGTCCCTACAGTGTCGTGTTCGGGTGCCCAGACACCAGTCGTCCCTACAAATGGAACAGCAGGAGCGACTAGTGTTACGAGCCACCCCTACAAATGGGGTCTGATTTGTAGGGGCGGCTCAATCACCAGCCGTCCCTGGAAATACTATTTGTAGGGACGGCTGGTGATTGAGCCGCCCCTACAACTGGCCCTGGATTTATAGCTCTGATTTGTAGGGACGGCTCAATCACCAGCCGCCCCTACAAATGCCCTCCATATAAAACAGATGCATCACCTTCTTTCTCCTCGGGTCACTCACTCCAACCCGTGAAAGAAAGGTGGGGAGGCCTTGGACACCTCTCAAAAATTACTCTACTAAGGGGAAAAGGTTTTGGTCTCAAATCCTTTGGTGGAGAGATCGTAGAAGGTAAGAAAATATTATTCCATACTTTTTTTTTAAAGTTTTAATGGTTGGTTAGTGAGTAATTAGAGTTTTATTTTTATCTCTCTTCTATGGTGCTTGAGCTATTTATGAAGCAAATTAGATCCAACTTTTAAATGTACTAGGGTAAATTAGGGAAGAGAACAAGATCATACCCTTATTTGGTCCATGTTTCTTGATTTTAGTGAACAATTAGTTAGTTTTCTGGATGTTTCATGTGCATGTGGATCTAGATCTAGAGTTTGGTTTTTTTATTAATTTTGTTTTTGTAAATTTATGTTTGATGAAATTGGACTAGGGTTTGTATGAAAGATATTGGGTAAAGTATAATTGTTGCTAATTGTTGTCTTTGAAATTATTTATTGTAATCAATAAATATGTATTTTAATTATTTATGAATAAATGGGCCGTTAATTAATTTTCTTTTACCATGGTGTGTTTGTATGCTTCATGTAATTATATTAGATTTATATTCATATATATCTGAAGTATATATAATTATTCTCAAGTAATTATTAATTTGTTTCATTTTTATATATATCTGAATAAATAGTCCTTTAAGGCTTGTTTTGTTGTTGTTGTAAAAGATGGAGTACAGGAACTCTTGGATGTATGGTTCGTTAAGGTTCAAGGCAGGTTTCCGTGAAGAGGTGGATAAATTTATTGAAGCCGCAAAGAAGCATGCAATGACATTGAAAGAGAATAAGGATACAATTATTTGCCCATATAAAGATTGTAAGAACCGTATAGCATGGACAGATGTGACTATCATCAGATCACATTTGATTATACGAGGATTTGTTGAGTACTACACAGTGTGGATTCATCATGGTGAAACGGTTATTGTTAACGACGAGGATGAGAAGGAATACGATAATGAAACCATAGAACCCCTGTCCCAATATTTAGCAGAGCTTGATGCACGAATGGATTTCGAGTTTGGCAATAAACAAGGTGGTGATGCTGGTGGTTGGGATGGTAACGACGAAGGTGGCACCAATAATGATGGTGGAGCATGTGTCGGGGATGAAGATGATTTGGGGGACAGATTCGAGCCCTTAGACCAGAGATTTTACTAAATAGCCCGAAAGCTCTAGAAAATTTGGAAAGGGTGACAAAAGCATCGAAGGAGACTGTGTATGGTGTTGAAAAGGGTTGTCCGACACATTGGATATTGCTACGTTTTGTGCTTGAGCTGCTCATCCTGAAGGCTAAGTACGGCTGGTCAGACTGTAGTTTCAATGATCTATTGCATCTCCTATCATGGGTGCTGCCACAACCAAACTCAGTTCCCACCAACACATACCAAGCGAAGAAGGTCATAAGTCCATTGACAATGGGGGTTGAAAAAATCCATGCATGCCCCAACCACTGTATACTTTTTCATGGCGAAACGTTCAAGTCACTGGATAAATATCCCCGGTGTGGGGCTAGCCGATACAAGAACAATAACCTTTACGGTTGGGACGAACCCTCCACGGGGAAAAAGAGGAATAAGAAGGGTACAAAAAAGGTGGTATAAGAATCTCAGCCCCCAGAGGACACTCTATTAGGCAACAATGCAAAGCAGAGAATAATTCCTGCCCTGGTAATGTGGTACCTGCCAGTGACCGGTCGCTTGAGACGTATCTTCCTAAACCCTAAAGAAGCCGCACTTATGACATGGTGGGATGATGAGCGCAAGGTGGATGATGATAAGATTGCACACCCGGCTGATTGTAGTCAGTGGCAAAGGTTTGATGAGAAGCACAAAAAATTCAGCAATGACCCAAGGAATATACGGTTTGGCTTGAGCACCAATGGAATGAATCCCTTCAATGAAAGGATGAGCGACCACAACACATGGCCAGTGATCTTGACCATGTACAACATCCCAACATGGCTATGTCAAAAGAGAAAGTACCTTCTCCTCACTATTCTTATTTCTGGCCCTAAATAACCAGGCATTGATATAGACGTGTTCCTCGAGCCCTTGATGCAAGAAATGGAGAGGCAATGGAGACATGGGGAGCAGATGTAAGATGCGTTCCGAAAGGAGGACTTCATATGTAGAGCAATAATATTTGTTACTACCAATGATTATCCCGTGCTGTTTGCTTTGTCTGGATAGATCAAAGGGAAGACGGGATGCTTGGTTTGCTTGGATGGTACTACATGGGTGTACCTGAATGCATCCAAGAAGATAGTTTACCTAAGGAACCGACGTTTCTTAAAGATAAGTCACAAGTACCGCAGCAAATTGTTCTTTAGATTTTATGATAACGCCCCGAAGATTGAACCCCCTCTGGAGAGACGTCATAACGGAGAACACGTGTACAGAATGGTGAAAAACATACGCGTCGTCTATGGAAAGAAGAATCCAGATGGGACGAACAGAGATAGAAGCACACCTCCTATCGAAGGCGTACCTTTCAAGAAACAATCGATCTTTTTTTAGTATCTGCCTTATTGGCCAGACTTGAAGGTCCCCCATGCCATTGATGCTATGCACGTGCAGAAGAATGTCTTTGAGAGTCTCATTGCTACCTTGATGGACACAGGCAAGTCAAAGGATGGTCTGAAAGCATGGAAAGACATGGTGCAACTAAACGTGATGCCACAGCTTCACCCGGTACCTGAGGCTAATGGAAAATACACTCTGCCTGTGGTGTGCTTCAACCTAACACCAGACGAGAAGAGAGCTATATGCACTTTCCTGAGAGGGATCAAAGCCCCGACTAGGTTTTCACCAAATGTGAAGAAGCTAGTGTCGATGAAGGACTTGTCAATAACACACTACAAGGCTCATGATTGCCATGTGATGCTGATAGTATTTCTACCTATTGCAATCAGGGCTATAAAGTCAGAGTTCTTGAAAATAGCCATCACCCGCATGTGCTACTTCTTTTTGAAGATCTCACAGAAGACGATTGGCAAGGAAGAGCTGAGTGACCTACATGAATTTGTGGTGGAGACACAAAACCAACTGGAGATGTGTTTACCTCCTGCTTTTTTGATATAATGCCACATCTCATGATTCACATGGTTCATCAAATACAAGCGCTTGACCCTTGCTACTTGCATGAAATGTGGTCCTACGAGCGGTTCATGTCGGTTCTAAGTCGATACATGCATAATTGAGCATACCCAAAGGGCTCCATGATAGAGGGTTACAGTACTGAAGAAGTCGTCGAGTGCTGTCAAGAGTACCTAAAAGTACAGAAAGGGATTGGTAAACCTGATTCTCGTCACAAGGGTTGGCTGGCTGGGAAGGGCACCAGTGGTAGAAAAGTGTTCATCGACCATGATTACAAAGAGGTGAGTCAGGCGCATTATAGTGTCTTGCAGAGTACACAACTGATGCAACCGTATATTGATGAACACTTGGCTATCATTATGGCGGAGAGAAATGGCCGTTCGGATGATTGGGTCATGAAACAACACAAGCAACGACTAACTACATGGTTGAAGGACCAAAACATACCGCCTGGAGAAACTATAGACTCTATTACCATCAGTAGGTTGGCGGAGGGGCCATCGAGACAAGTGACATCTTGGAATGCTTATGACATCAATGGGTATATGTACTATACCCACGCAAAGGATAGTAAATATGTGAACCAAAACAGTGGCGTTCGAATAGAGGCTCTCGATGGATTAGGACAAAAGATCCAATACTTTGGCATCATTGAAAAGATATGGGAACTTGACTATGAAAGGGATATAACGGTGGCCCTGTTTCGATGCCGCTGGATCAAACAACACCAACTGAACAAGATCGGATTAAGAGTCATGGACCTCGAGAATCTAGGCCACCAAGATGACCCTTGGGTGCTTGCTTCACGTGTCGCACAAGTTTTCTATATGTCTGACCCACAAAGTAACCTCCCCCCGAAGAAGAAGACAAAGCACGTGGTTGCCTCCGGGAAACAGCACATTATTGGAGTTGATGGCGTGGACGATGTTGAAGCTTACAATAACTACGATGAGATGCCGCTATTCACATACTTTCCTAAGAAGATCAGTGTTGTGGAAAAGAACCTCCCCAAAGACATATTGCCATGGGAACAAAAAGGTGTTAAGGGGAAAGTCATTACAACGGGCTAGCTAGTTGTTTAACGTGGAGTGTTTATGTAAATGTGTGTTTGTAAGACTTCATTTATGGATGCGTGTGAGACTATATATTTAT